AGCAGGCTGACCTGTAGCAGTCTCGACTGGCGTAGCAGGCTAAGACCTGTAGCGGTCTCGACTGGCGTAGCAGGCTGACCTGTAGCGGTCTCGACTGGCGTAGCAGGCTAAGACCTGTAGCGGTCTCGACTGGCGTAGTAGGCCACTGGGGCTTGCTTCGCTAGTCGAGACCGCTACAGGTTGATCATAGCGTGCTGTCGAGATTGCTACTATGCCATAACTTCCAATACATGTACTAGGGTCAGATCCTAGAGACACTCCTGAGAGGTGGCTCATTCGTCCGGATACAGGTCGAGGATTTTCGCTCGAGCTCGAAAGCGACAAGGCGCAGCAGCATGTGGCTCTATGAGGCCGCCAACCAGGCCGCCAAGACGGCCAAGGAGCGCGTCGTCCAAGTGCAGGAGAAGGTCCAGGAGAAGGCCTCCATCATCGTCGCTCAGGTTCAAGACGAGGCGCAGACGCTCCTCAACTCGATGAGCCTCCAACAGGACAACCCCGTCGACGAGGTGGGGCCGTGGCACATGGCGGCATGGCCCATGATCGCGCGCGCCTCTGTAGATCATCTTTGAGGAGCTCGACGACTACAAGGCCTTCCAGGATGTATTTGACCTCGACGACAAGACGGAAGACGTCGCGGCGATCCTCAAGGACGACACGTACATCTCGGACCTCCACACGGCGATGGTGCCCGAGCAGCTCTCGTACAAGGAGTTCTGGACGCGGTAGGCTCCGCATTGCGTACTTCGATTTCGTGCTAATGGACATGCTGTGGTAGGTACTATTTTCGCGAGTTTACAAAGCAGCGTCAAGAGGAAGAACGTGCCAAGCGGGAGGAGGCCCGGCGCGCCCAGCTGCTCGAGGAGCAAGCCGCCCGCGAAGAGCGCGAGCGCGACGCCCGCATCGCGTACGAGGCGCGCATGGAAGAGGAGCGACTCGCGGCCGAAGCCGCTGAAGACGTCGCGATGTGGAAGGAGCAAGTGGACCACCTCCAGCAAGTGATCCGATCGCTCGAGCACAGCGAGCAAGACAAGTACAAGGCGCTCAGCGACGACTACGAGTCCAAGATGACGCAGATGACGCTGCAGATTGACGACGCCAAGGCGAGCGGCTACGAAGAAGGCATTGCCGAGAGCGAAGCGATCGTCGCCAAGCTCCGCGCCGAGGCCCAAGCCGAACGCGACGAGCTCCGCGCTTTCTTGGAGCACGTCATCAATCCGTCGACGGCCGCGATGCCCGAGGTACCAGCGTCCTCTGTTCTGTCCCTCGAGACTGCCCAACATCTCTGGGCGCTGCGGCAGTCCGGACCACCAACAACCACGGATGCGCAGCACGCCAAGGAGCTGGATCTCTGGAAGGCGCGGGCGATGAAGATGAAAAAGCTCAAAGACGACGTCGACGCCGAGCTCGTCACGGCCAAGGCCGCCATCGCGTCGGCCGAAGCCAATGGTTTTGCGGCGGGCGAGGCGGCCGCCAAGGAGACGTACGTGGCGCAGATCCAAGCACTCGAAGCGGCGCTGGCCGCCCACCAACAGACGACGTTGCCAGCGCTGCCTCTGGCAGCCGAGGTGCAGGACGCTGCCGAGGCCAAGGAGCCAACTCGCGACGACTGGGGCGAGTGGGATTGATGATGTGCATGATTGATCGTCCAACACCAGTTCTTACGCATATATACACCCTGCGTTACGCTTCGTCGTTCTCGTCCTCGTGGGCATGGTCGGCCCGTTGGCGCAGCTTCTCGAGCGAGTCCACCGCCGGGTCCCAGTCGGGCAAAATAAAGTACTGACGGGGCCGCGGCCGCGGCCGCTGCACTTGCTCCAAGAACGGGAGCGCGTGGAACTTCTCGTAGCAGCTCGTGGTTTCCTTTCCAAACTTGGTGCGGCAGAGGTGCGCTTGGCAGATTGCGCACTGCCACTTGGTGTTCATCTCGCGCCGACGCTGGCTCGTCGAGCTGATCGAGAAGCAGAGCACGCAGTGGCTGCGCTTCCCACTCGTGTCCTGCACGAGCGCATGCGCCCGCGTCGGGTCAAGGCGCAGCGCACGTCCAACGTCCGAGTTGTAGAACGACCGCATGTTGCGCCGGGGAATCTCGGGCAGCGGCCGCGGGTCCTCGATGACCTCGGCCGGTGTCTCGACAGGGAACGGCGGCTACACGCACATGTTAGCACCCGACGTCGCGAAGCACGTTTACGAGAATCGCTGGCGTCAAATACGAAGCCGCGTGCGGGCTGGGACTCTGGCGACGGCGCGGGGCTCGGCGACCGGTGG